AAAAAAAAACACGGGTTCCGGATTTCCCTGTCTCGCTAGTGGGTCCCAGACTATGCACATAAACTCTGACGAGTTTGCCTAGGTTGAAGTCCAGGTCCCCAATGTGACCTCAAGCTCAAGGAAGTTCTGGGCCCAGCACTTGACCTTCCGGACCACACCAAAGGAGCCAACGCCCACAATGCCTGGGGTGCGGCAGTGCAGCACAGTTGTAAGTCGTGGATCCAGGCTTGCGTGCCAAGACTGCCATAGATCCCCATAAAGCCAACCACCCGTAAGACATGCTGTCCGCGATGCCAAAGATGTCGTAGTTGTCCTCTGGCTTGCCCTGCCATTGAGTAAAGCTAACAGATTCAGACTAAAATCTGGGTCACAGCTCAGAACCCTTTCGAGAAACCATGTGCAAGACTGGATTTGGGAAATTGCTCTGGAGGGTGAGAGGGCTGTTGGGGGGACCTGCGAAAGAACCTGCGAAAGGCACAATCATCCATTATCATCATAGGATCTCATACAACACCAGCCCGGGTGCAAAGAAAGTCTCAGTGAGGGCTATTTACGCGCTTTGATTGAAATGGGGGTGTTCGGGTGCGACCATGCAGTGCTTGCCTTCCGCCGGCTGATAAACATGTCACGGGAGAAGTCTGCAGGCTCCACTTCCTCTCAGGGCGGCATTGCCAATTGCTCTCAACTGCATAGCTATACTTGCATATACCCTTCATCATGTTCATCCCACGCAACCCTGGCGATGCCTCCAGCTTGACAAGGAGCAGGGCTCGGTAGAGCTCCTGAAACCTTAGGACCACCATGCCCTCGACAAGCCACAGGCAGTACCACTCTCACGCTCACTTATGGCCATGCATTCATGCAAGCTAACAAAGATTGAAGACCCTGCGCAGGCTGTCTCTCTCAGCTAGGAAACTCCTTTTCATTCAGCAGCTCATCGCCATCGGTGTCGAACCTCTGAAGGTAATGCCTGAAGGTCCACGCAAAGTGCAAGCGAAAGCAGTGCCCATTGCACCAGCAGGGTCCAAGAACATGCTACCGCGCAGAATCCTGGTGGTTTTGAAGTACTTGCAGGTGATGCTTGGACTCGGACAGCCGTGGAAAGAGCAGCAACTGAGGCAAACGCATCACATGCCGTTCCGTGAAGTCCCCGATGCCAAGATCGGCATTCATTTTCTGCATACCTCAGCAAGGCCGGCGATGCCCCCTCAAGGCCTGAAATCCAACCCTGTAAAGGTGAAATGCTGCCTCAGGCTTCAACTTCAGACATTTCAGACCCAGAACACCAATTTCATCCTTTGCTGCTTGTGCCCAGATATGTAGAATATCTGGAAAACGGATATAGAGTTGATGACAAGACTCATGCTCCGGTGCTAGGAAGCTATCGAGGGCACATGCAGGAACCGCAGCTATGCAAGCAGCTTATGCACCACAACTTCAGCAGTTCACAATTGCCGGTTGCTCTGGAAATCGTGTATTGAGTTAGGGGAAGTCTTTTCCTGGCGCTTATCAGCAGCCTCCCACTCCTTGTGCCCAAAACGTTCTGGAAATCAAAACAGGAACCCACAACCAACGATTGCAGGGCCGAAATCAAAGACTGAAGCTCGAACTGCAAAACACTCGTGAACCTGGGCGCGGTGTTACAAGCACCAAGAGTCCAAGGAGCATCTGCAAAGCTCATCAAAACCTCAGACTATACATCTGAAGGCCCTCAGTGTTGCCTTCTGCCTGTGTTTGCAGCTCTGCAAGAATAAAGGCCAAACCAACATTTTTGTGTGGTCGCCGCTGCCAGGGTCACCGCTCTCTGAACCGGGCTTGGGGCCAATGGCTAAGAAAACGGGGTGCTAGCTTGAGCCTGAGGTGTCAGCTTCAGGTCTCGAAGATTGACATTCATTCCGCGCGACGTATGAGCTACTGTCACTCCCACACAGTGGCACCGTCCCCAACTGCAAGCTGCGTCACTCACTTGGCCGTCTCCATTCGCATCAGACGCCTGGAAGCAGGACCTGGTTTCCAAGAGCATGAAGGTCAAGGTGGCAATAACATCCCGCTCGAGAACCAATGGTGGTGCCCGACAAGATCGACACTGCAAACACCCAAGAGCCTACAGGCTCAGCTACAGATCCTGCAGCTTCTTGTTTCGTTGAAAGTTCTCACTAGAGAAAGGCAAGCGGCTTTGCATACTTCTGCAGCTTCTGCTTGCTTTCCAGCGCATCTCTGATCAAACTGGCGCTACCTCTGCTGGAGAAGGGAGCACATTCAGGATTCGACTCGGCGAAAAACAACTCCTACACCGGTTTATTCCGGGCCGCTAAGGATGTCCCACAAATTTGCGGCCTCGCAGTCTAGCTCTGCGGACACTCCTACAGCGGAACTTTTCTGCTTCCTTTACTTCCTTGTGGTGCTTTTTCAGTTCCGCCTGGCAACAAAGCCAATTCTGCACACCAACATATAATCTATTATTTGCCCTTGATGGCAGCAAAGGGCATGCTCGGCCGATCTCCAGTTCCAACTCCAATTAAGTATACGTGTAACAGCCCCATCCCATTGTCTGGTTTGCCGCACCTCAAAACAGGTTGTTGGAGCAATTTTAGCGTGTCAGGGGCAGAGCAGTTTTTGCTTTCGAGCAGGCATTCCAAACTGAATGTTGGCTCTCGCGCTGTAGATTACATTCTTTTAAGATGCTTGACAGTTGTATGAATCAGGCTTGCCACTGTACATTACCACATCATGTACCCCTGGTCCGAGGCCGGCCAGGGGACTGTGCAGCTTTTGGAGGGCTTCCTCGCCCTCGCCCGGAATGCTCACTTTCTGCGGTGCCTTTCGCACGAGGCATGCGCATGTGATGCTTGGCATGGGATTTTTGGTGGGGTGGTGCTGTCTAGCGTTAATCGACACAACCTTTAGGCATGCAAAGCTCAGTATCTGGTTACTTTTACCCTGGAACTCTTCACAGCGGCTCCCTGCTTGCGAGTGCAGATTGTCACACTGTCATCTGAACCGCATCAGGCTTGCTGCCATTGCAGGTCAGGATTCAGGGCTCAGGCTTGAGACAAAAGTACTTATGCAGTCCGCACTCACTCTTTTTAGGGGAGGACGTGTGAAACTGCAACAGCACAAGTTCCAGGAAACCTTTTCGAGAGCATACGAAGCAAAACAAAGCAATCCCTGTAGAACCTGACAGCACGGCCTGTCCTTCAGACAGGCTTTGCCGGTCTGAGGAGAGGGATGGACCTGGACACGGCAGGCCTCGAGAGCCCATGTCACATCAGACTGGTCGCGGTAAGCATAATTACTTACTCCAGAGCTCATTCGCAGAACTTCGAATTTCCACACTGGGTGTCAGCGTAAGGGAAAGGGCAAGAGCAAGTTGAATATGGGTATGAATGAACTGTTCGCAATGCAACAGACACAGTCGTCCTGTAATCTGATGGAATTGGAAGATAGAAGTAGCCCTGTCGAGTTACAGAATTCAAGGCCGCGCTTGAGAATCAGGCATGCTTGGCACGCGATTTATGTTGAAGTGGGGAGGCAGCCAGCTTTACCGGCCAACTGCCGTCCAAGGACCGCTATCGTTCGGTTGGGCAGCTGCGGCGATGCAGGAGTACTGGTCCTTGGCACTCAAGACAAAAGTGATCTGTAATAGACTTCAAGTTTGCGGCCCTCATGCATGCACACACAGATGTATATATGTATGTACATAATTATATGATTGTATATGTGCATAAATATATATATATATATATGCACGCACTAACGGTCTGCCCCGCAAACCTCCCAAGGACCCCTGCAAACGGAAACGGTCGTTGCAACCACTTGCTACTGGTTATTACTCGAAAGGCGCTAAGGCATTGTCCCGTGTGCATGGCAATTGATGAACCTTGTTTACTGAAGGCGTACATCAATTCAAACACAAAAGAACTCAACCTCGAATCCTTGATCCCAAAACCCCCGAACATCGAGCCAGAACTTTGACTCATTCCCAGCCCTAGGGCGCCATATGCTCATCCTGTGACTCATAGGGCTTCATCCCACCAGAATGATATTGCCATAGCTGGGGGCAGGCACATAACCAAGTTAAACTCTCGAAATGAGAAGCAACATAAGACATAAGAAACACTGATGTTTGAGAGCTCCTCCACTTGTGGATCCAGTCCCTCACAACCCCGCATAGAACTACGCATAATGTCGCGAAATCCTATTTCCACGCATCCCCGCGTAACCAGGGAAATAAGAAGATACCCCTGTTGCCTTCACACGAGACACAAGAAATCTTTGGCAAATTTGGGGGAGACCCTTCAGGGCTGTCTACCGCAGGTTCCCTGAAAATTACCTCTGAAGTTCCAACCCCAGGTATCACTAACATGAACCTCCAATCACTCCTCGTGGAGTCTCAGACTTGTCAATAAGACCGGGATGCTGCCCAGGCAGGTGGCCACCTTCTGGGGAGCAGCTGCGTGGTCCTCTTGCATGGGACGAGAACCAGCATTGCCAGGAAGAACCATACCAAAATAAGACATGTAGTCATATTGAATACAGCCAAAATGGGGAAGAAGCAACCTCAAGAGGCCCGGGTCTTTCTCAGGGACTGCTTTGGAGAAATGCTGCCGTGGCAGCAAGTTTAACATGCTTCAACAAATGCCGTCACGGAACGAGCACCTACTTTCCAGAAAAATTCAAGCTTCCGCAACCACGCAGTCTTGACAAGGCAAGCTTCCTACCAGCAGACTTCACGGATCTGCAAACCCCTGCAAGATCCCAAGTTCCCAATCAACAGCACCCGATGAACAGACCATTTACAAAGCAGGCGGCCTGCTTCGGCAGCTGGTGCGACCAAACGATGGCCAAGCACTGGACTCGGGACTCGCCTGGCCACAAGAAAGTTTACTGGAATGTTTATGGATCTCTCCTGCATTCGCCATGGCCCTGCACGCTGTGCGAATGTGTGCTCAAACGCTATTGGCGTGAAAAGCGCGGGATTCAGGAAGGCCGCTGAAAAAATATTCCTGTGTGAGTCGTGCGCAAGTTCAGGAACACCATCTGCTTGCTCGAAGGATTGGGTCATTGGCAAACCTGCACGTTTTCCAAAATCAGCGCTGCACATACCCCCTCGAGATTACCCGTGAGCACTGGACTTTGAGCAGCTTGAAAGATATGTAATGGAAGAAAATCTCTCTCCAAGTTACAAACCAGTTATAAGCCCTGGTTCTGGATAGGCATCTACCACAAAAAATGCGCAGCCTCAACATGTCACTTGAAGGAAGGAGAGAGCCGATAATGATGAGGAGGATGAGTAAGAGGGGCTCAGAAAGAAGACGCCCTTGTAGCAGTGCTTAGCAATTAAGATCCCTGGCGTTCCTGGCAGGGAGTCCAGTCTTGCTCTTTGCCAGAGTTGGCGTCGCGGCTGGGGCAGGCGCATTGAGGTCCGCACCTTTCTCTTGGGACCGGTTGTCTGGAAATTTGGACGAACAAAGAAACCAGTTCACGAAGGTTTCTGCCTGGGTTTCAACTATCAAAAGTCCAAGACCCAGAACAAAAACTTCGTGTCACTGGCTGATGTTGCTGCCACAGGCCCCCTGGTGGCCTGTCCTGCTAGCATCTGCTAGCGAACATGTAATATATGGGCACGGTTACAGTTACAGCAATGCCACCCCCACAGGTTGCTATCCTTAACTCCAAACCTTTCAAATCTTCTGCCTTTCCGCGCAGATAGTGCTGCCCTGAGCTCCTAAAGGGGCTGGCACTTGCTTCCGTACTGATGCGGCGAAAGGCATCATGCATACAGCAAGACGGAAATTTTGACTCCACAATCTATCATCCATTTATGCCGGGGAGCCTGTCTTTGCGCGGACAAGCACCTTATGCGCTTGAAGTGGGCTGCGTTGACCTTCACGACCTCAGCGTCGTCATAGACACAGCGCGGTCTCACTTTTAGACACTGGCCTCAAGTTGAAAAAAAACTTGCGCACA